TCGAACTTCCATTTCACCTAAGCTTATTCACTCGATTTTGTAATCTTCGGGAGGGTTAGAATTCGTATGTCAAATCTAGTAAAAATGCTGAAAGTGAGCAGCTTCTGCGAGTTTGTGATTGTCACCAAGGTGAAAATGTGAGATATTTTAAGTAAGAATACTCGATAAGAAATTTCGTATTGAAATAACGAGATGTGAGACAGGAATGATAGATACAACGAGAGCGAGAAAGACACAGTGACAAGAGCGCGACATAAAAGATGCGTACGTAAAAGACTCAAGTCAGTGGAGGTTAACATGATTCACCTAGCCATACTGATAATACTTGATGACAAATAGGGAAAAAATGAGAATAGCAAAGAGAACACCTCGGTATATTTTAGAATCAATTTCGTATGAGTAATGATAACAGTAATGTTTATTTTTAACACAAATACTTTTTTACATTATTACATTTCACAGTACATTGGCAGTAATAAATATTTGTTGCTCTGTAACATTCATTTTCATCTCTTCATCATGTCGCATATAAAACTTGCAACTCACCACAGTTCGTACGGTACGAGGGATAAATTGGATAAATGCAGACTGTTTTCAAGTAAAGACGTATATGTTACTCTTCCACTCAAAATCTTTTCTTCCTATACTTCCAATCTAATGATTTCGCATTTTTACTGGAGGATACAAAATCGAGTCGATAATCTCAGGTGAGATGAAAGTGCGAGAAATGAAATGCTCTCTTACCAAAAGGTTTGTTCGTGTTGTCTGCATTTTCTGCACTCGAGTGTAACGAGTGTACTACACTTTTCATGAAAGATGCAGAAGTGTAGATACACTTTCGTCGACTATCCCAAACGCCAGGAACCTCAAGAAAGTCCAAGATGACCGATTTAGTGGAACGGTATACAAATTTGGGATTACCGTATCGGATGATGATGAATACGAAGAGTAATGCTTGCTCTAGCCTTTCTTCTTGGACTGTCTTCGTTTTCTGCAAATCCTACTAATTGTTCTATTACCTTGCAATTGTAGAAGACGAAAATTCCTTCTTTCACGAATTTCAGGTATTGAGGGTCAGTAAGGGTCAGGATATTATCGCAGTAGAATGAAAAACAATGTTAACTGTTACAGTGAAAAATTATAGTTCATTCCAAGAGCAGTTACGTAGTAATACAATATTATTGTTAATAAATAAATAATTCTTGAAAATTGTTTCAAGCGTTACGTACAAAATTAAAACGCTAAATCGTTCTACACGTGAAGAACATGCATTAATAATTATTTCTATTTATAACACTTTGCCGTCGCACGATTCGTAAATATTTATTCGCTTGGCGCCGGCAGCGCTAATTCGGATCACTTGACTTGTCGCCGGCCGTTCTTGACATTATCGGGAGATTATAAATTGTTAAGTTTTACTAATCTCATCGTTAGTTCTCATAAGTTCTCAACCCTGTTCCCCTACTTTCATGAAATTTCGAAGATATACATATGTAAATAAATACAAAATTTGTTTCTTTTATATATTTGTTTATGTGCATTTTCTTTGGTACTTAGTATTTCTCTTTCGTATGGTACGCAGCAAAACAGTCTCCAAGATGTAAGGCAACTCCACAAGACTTGCACATTAAGTTTGTTATTTTTCTTTTTTTGTTTTTGGAACATACATGGCAGTTTCTTCGTTTTCGTTTATTCGTTTCGGAAATAAGGACTAGTTGGTGTTCCTTTATGTGACCGGAAAGTCTGTCAATCGGATCATGATCAGACGCACGCGATGTAGTAGCAACTTCCAAGTTTTGCTCAGAAGCAGGTACATGGTCTTTTATCCACGAAGCGCACACTTTCAATAAAAAATCTTGAAATCGGAGACTCTTCTGTTCTGTATTAAAATATTGACATGTACGGAATGCATTAAATAATGTGCAATTAAAAAGGTACATGCAAACTTTTTTTGACCATTTTATAGATTTTCTGTATATAGGGTAATAACTCAAATATTGGTCTGCCCGATCCACTCCTTTCATGTATTTGTTGTAGTCTAATACACTTTCAGGTTTTTTTATTGTGCAATTAGTTTTTCTACATGTTCTTTGCGTGTTAATCAAAGTGGAATTATGTATTGTAGAGATCATTCGTGTCGTTTTAGTTTTCGAAGTTCTCCATACCTGTGCGAGTACTTCACCTTTCCGTTGATGACAAGCTTCAAATACATTGACATTTGCGCGCTTTAATTTTTCCGGAAATCCTCTATTTTGCCTTATTGTTCCACAAACTCGAATTTTCTTCTCAAGCAAATTCTCTGCAAGTTCTATACTGTTGTAATAATTATCCATGTAGAGGTGATGCCACTTTCCATAGGAAGGTGTCAATAGTTCCATTACTGTTTTTGCTAAAGGCTGTCCAACGCCGGAATATATCTTGAAAGAAGAAATGTATCCCGTAATTGAATCACACATCATCCGAATGAGTATGCCATATTTCGTAATTTTCGACGGATTGTAAACTTTAAAATTCAACCGTCCACGCCACGGTATCATTCCTTCATGAATTGAAATGTTTTGACTTAGATTAAAATTTTCTTTAAACTTTTTGGAAAAGTAATCAATTATGAATTGCACTTTGAAAAGCCGGTCGGCATTATTCGGTTTATTGTTGTTGTCAGAAAAATGTAAAAATGATAATATTTGTCTGAATCTGTTGCGGGACATCGTTTTGCGAAATATCGGCGTGTCTATCAACGGGTTCGTTGACCAATAATCATCGATCCTTGCTTTTTTTACAATACCCATAAGGATAGAAAGCCCAAACCATTTTCTCAGTTCGAGTGCCGTAACATCCACAAATTTGGCATTTTTTTTATCCTGTTTCCTTTTATCGCAATTTTGACTGTGGTACTTGTTGGTTTCATTGCAAATATATTCAAATAAATCGTTCCCAATATATAATCCTGTGATATCCTCGACGCTCTGCGTATCCTTGAGAAATATGTTTGGACCCGGAGATCCTTCAAATTCATTATTGGTCCTCGGTAAATCAAACTCTGACCATTGTGCACTGCCTTCTTCGTCTGACTCATCCGAATCAGTTGGCAACCGTAGCGTTCGCCGAATTCTTCTTGGAAGTATTTCACTATCCTCCGACGATTCTGCTTTACTTTCACTTTTTTGATTTTCAATGTCTTCCCAATCGGCCAAGTCGTCCGGAACGTCAGACAAGACGTCCGCGCATTCGTCGTAAATATTTGTATCGTCTCTTTCGTCTGCCATGATAAAAGGGCACAAGAACTTATACAAATAAAAAACTTGATGACTTGTGTAACTTATTGTTACCGAAACAAAGCACCAGCAGAAAACAAAAGATACTAAAGTGCTGTAGCCGACCACTGAGCGATACTGTGCTCACGACACCACTGTAATGTCGCCGGCCACTGAGCGATGCTATGCACACGACACCACTGTGGTGTCGCCGGCCGTTGGCCGCTAATTTGCGCACGACACCACTGTGGTGTCACCGGCCGTTGACTGCTAGTTTGCGCACGTCACCACTGTGGTGTCGCCGGACGGCATAGTGATAATATGTTGAGATGTTGGTACAAACTTTGTATTTTCCTGTTTGTTGGCCTTTTCAATCTTTAACTTTGCTGTCGAATTCACGGGCAACATTTTTCTACTTTCTATGTCGCGTGGAATACGCCATGGAATCGACGCAAAAATGTAAATTGCTGCGAGTGACAAAATCTGGGCGTTTATCACATTTTTAACGAGCGCGCTCACTTCTCACGCTTTCATCTCACGTGGAATTGCGTATTCGCTATATGAAAGAACGAGATCACTAGCACTTCCGGTCTAGTAATATTGCCAAATAAAGGTATATACCTTGTAAATCGAAAATTGTTGAGAGGTGTGGGTTATAGGCAGGAAAGGCGGGAAGATGGAAAGCCGTTAAAGGTAAAGAAGAGGACTCGAGTCTATTCATATTTTTTAAATTCATATTAACATGTACTATAATTAGAAGTTCAACAATATAATTTTCTTATCATGTCATGTAAGCATGAATTATTTAACAGTTTTCAATGTTTAATAATGTAATGTAACCTCGCAATAACAAAAACTAACCTGTACATACTAGTGAATTCTCTTTCTTCTCACGAAAATGGGTCTAAGGCATCACGTACTTCCTTTCTTTTTTTAATAACGTTATTATTGCATCCCCGAATACAATTGTTGCCAAAAATGAAAACACCCAGAAGGTTTTCCATTTTGAATTTTGGTGTCAAAATCCGTGGAAGGTGGCGTTCACGGCGCTTATTTTTCTATCTTTTCTTGTACGCTTCACTATTTCGCTTAAAAATTTGTGCCGAGCTAGTTCACATGAATGGTCTCGCATTTTCACCATCAAAAACTTTCCGTAATACTCATTTTTCACATTTTCGCACAATTTTCTTTACGTAATAGACCCCCTTTTTTCCAAAGAAAATTAATCCAAAGTAATAAAATGTTAATCCGAAACATTTCTCAATTAGTTAACGATTTAACTGCTTCGTCCTTTGAATCAAAGTATACATATTACAAACTCGTGAGACGTGCTTACTGTTAGCACTTTTACCCGATTCGAGTTAGAAAATCGATCCTTCGATCGCGCCAGTTCTCGTTTTCGCCGTTCTGTTAGACACAGTCAGAGCCGTATTCAAGCATAGGGAGTGAGCGGTCCATATATTAAACGTCGATGGCCTGCGTGCGGATGTGAAGTTACGCAAGTTGATGTCAAATAAATCTGGAAATTCTTGCTGCAAGTTGCGAATAAATTCGTGTGTTTCATAAATGTAATGTTTATTAAATAAATGATTATTTTCCTTTATATATGTTTCATTTATGCAATAAATAATGTGATTGATAAAAATATAAAGTTTTGAATACCCCGCACAAAATCATGTACCCTACTAGCGCTGTGGTGGTTTGTTCTGGAACTACTGGAATAATTTGTGGAGGGGGCAGGGGACTCTCCAGTCTATAACTATCTGTTGTCTATGGTTACAACTGAACTCAATTCTGCCGCCAGTTATTAGGAGCTTTTGTTAAGTTTATAGTAATTATTTAAGTAAGACAAAATTAAAACGCAGCATCTGTAAGAGATGACTCATGTCAATAAATGTCCTGAAGCAAATGCAGCAATATTTGGCGAAGATGTTTATCTTCAGAACTTGTAAGTTTTAACGCTCTTAACCTATTCCTGATGTGACATTAAACTAAAGATGTAAAACAAAGTATGTTACAAAATTTGACGCTCAATTTCTGGATCTTCAAAAGTTTACGTTTCCAAAAGAACAACTGTGATTTTCTGAATAATTTGTGAAATAAAGTGTTCTAAAATACGTTAAGTCATAGAAGGAAACACTTAAAGTTGATGGAATCATATGTAAATGCTTGTGGATCAAAACTTTTGTACAGAATCAAATTAATATTTAATTGTTTCTTCAGCAACATGGATAGTTTGCTTCCATTTGATAACATGGAAGAGCCAGAGAGAAAGTGTGATATGACAATGCTGTATCAGTACCATCGCGATGTAATTCAAAATTTACATCTTCAATCCATGCAGTCACAGCAGCAGCAAAATCAAAGCAACAATCTAGAAAAGATTCCACCAGACATGTCAATTCCAAGCAGAGATGAGTTTCCTGGAAATTTAAATTTTCAACTGTTGCTAAATAACCAAATGGCAGGAAAATATTGGGTGGTATGTATTACAGACAATGGGCTTATACAAGAATGGGTAAAATGGGTTTAAGGACCTTGATATATATTGTCAAGGTTACGCTCCTAAGTAACCTTTACAAGGTTTTAGCCATCACTCGTTGTTTGTGTCTCGTTATTAAATATTTAATTAATGATTCGTGTATTACTCTTAACTGCTGGCTAACCACTATACAGCAACCTGAGTAGAACTATTTACTTAACCTAGCCCTAATTGCCTTCAATTAAATTGTTTTAAATTAGAAATATGATGTATAAGGTTAATAATACGTTTATATTGTCAACTGTTTTAGAATGATTTAATTTGAGTTAGGATAGGTTAATAGTTAGAACCTGCCCTGCACGAGGCAACCAGCCATCTATTAGTTATAATACATCAAATATTATGTTTTAATGGATATATTGAATTCATAATTTTGAACAAAGCGTTAGTACGTTCACCGAAATGGTATCTTTATTTAAATAAATACCCAATAAGATAATGCATAACATGATAATGACGGATACTATAACAAGGAATATTTCCTTGCACATCTCACCACAATCTTTGTACATTTTGCTTATGAACTCCACTTTTTGAAGCCACAAAATTATGTGCTTGATTTACTCAATATCGAAAACATTCGTTCAACTCATCAAAATTGTTTTGTTAATAACTTTTTAACGAACAAGGAACAATGGTTAAAAACTTGCGATGGTCACTCAGAAGGGTGATATTGACAATATATGGTAAGGACATTGGAGGTGGGGCCCTTAAATCCCAGTCTTACCCAAGAATGCATGCACAAATAAAGACATCTTGAGCATCTACTTCTATTTCTTTCGTTCTATAAATTATTTCTTTGACCTGTTTAAAATTAATCACCCGCGATGTTATAGGTAGAATTTTAATATGTACAGAAATACAGTGCTGGCTTTAAGTAGGTTAATACTCAGTATATTAAATCAATTTATTTCAGTAATTCCTGAGATATTAGTATAAACCTTAATTATATCATATGTGTAAATGTGCAGTTGTATTAATAATTTAAATTAGTGGAAACGAATTATGTGCTTATGTTTTTTCTTACAGTACTCGCCAACGTTGTCAAAGGTCTTCATCAATATGGAACAAACACTACCATTAACGTTTAAATGGGAACCACCGCAAGAAGGTCTGTGGTTACGAGCTGTAATGATGTTCAGCCTTGAGCAGTATAGAAGTGATCCAGTCCACAGATGTCTTAATCATATGGCAGCAACCGACAGAAGTAACATAAATATTGATAACAGACAAATTAGGCATGTTTTCCGTTGTTTGAACCCAGCAAGCATGTATGAAGATCGTGGAGGTCACCTTTCTGTTATTGCTCCACTTGGCTTACCTCAAGCTGGGTCACAGCACGTTCCCATGCATTTTCAATTCTTCTGTAAGAATAGTTGTACGTCGGGTATGAATAGAAGGCCCACTGAACTGATATTTACTTTAGAAAATGACGAAGGTAGAGTATTAGGAAGACGTAGGTTAGGAGTGCGTATATGCAGTTGTCCAAAACGTGATAAAGAAAAAGAAGAGGCTGAAGCTCGATATGCCTCGCAAAAACCAGGTTCAAAGAAAAGGAAACTGTCAATTCCTCCAGGAAAAAAGTTAATGGTACCGCATACGGACTTGCATCCTCAAACCGTTCAGTTCAGTGTGCCAGGAAAAGAATTATATCAAGCAGTAATGACAGCAGCTTACAATATCTTAGCAGGACATGCTGTGCGAAGTGGACAGTTTGATTTTTTCAAACCGTACATGGATGAAATAGTACACAAGATGCAATAACATATGTCGATAAGTTTTCTTTTAGATATTAGTATATGTTTTTTTACTTCAACTTAATCTTATGTTATCAACAAGTTACTTTAGTATTATATTTTAAACAAGAAGTTTTAGTCCAACAGTTTTAGTTACGTTTTACAAATTTTTTCTTTAAAATTATGGCNAAATTTTACAAAACCTACTTTTTATTTGAATGAAAATCAAGAATTAAAAAGTTTTTAAACCCTGGTTTTGCATAGCAATTAATTGCTTTAAAAACATTATTTGATAAAACGTATTTAGAGGATCCACCTTGGATGACCTTGGCCTTGACGTATGTTGTCAAGGTCATCTTCCTGAGTGACCTCAAGGTTTTAGCCGTTGCTCGTTTGTTTAAAAGTTATTAACAAAATAAGTTTGATGAGTAGAACGTACACTGTTGTTATTAGGTACATATTTGAAGACTCGGAACATACGACAGTAAACCGTGCATCTTTGTTGAATACTTATTTGAAAGAACATATTTCGGCGAACGTATTAATACTTTATTCAAAATGATGAGTTCGATATATCCGTTAGAACACAATTAGATAATTAAATATGACTAAGTGAATTAGAATTTGGTGTATTGTTGTAGTTAACACTAAATGTACCACCGGCGGGTCAAATTGACCGGTTTAAATGGTGTTTGTAATGGGGGTATAAATCGTCGGTAGGTTTGGTGTTAACAGATGGCCGGTCGCCTTACAGCGGCCGGATTCTATATGTTAACCTAATCTAAGTTAAATCAATTCGAATTATATCGTTCTAAAATAATTGGGAATATTAATGTATGTTTAACTTTATACGTCGTATTTCTAATGTTTGGAATTATTTAATTTAAGTTAATTTGGGTCGGGTTAGGTTAATAGTTTGAATCCGGTCGTCACGAGGCGGCTGGTCAGTAGTTGACTGAAGCGATACACGAGTCTTTAACACGTTCCCGCCGGCGCCAATTTTCATTTGTTTCCCCCAACGGCGGCACACAAATCTATGTCGCGCTTCATCTGGCGGCGCGCATTTCTCGCGTGTTCAGACTTGCACGCGCTTCTTGTTTCTTCAGTATTACATTGAGCGCTTACTTTGCAAATGATGTGACTCGTGCCGTTTTTTATATCCTAACCACAGATTTCTGTTAGTAAAAATAACTAAAAGGTGGTTAGAATATTTTTTTAAATTTTGCCCTTAAAAATATTTTTTTAATTTTGCCCATAACATGGATATGGAAATAAGTGATTCGTCTGATGAATGTGTAAATAGAGGCAGGAGAAACGCATCAAGATTACGAATACTTTCTTCCTCTTCAGGCGAAGATTTTGTTAACGTAAACAGCAACGTTATGGAATGTTCCTCGGGGGAAGATTTGAGTGTTGAAGTTACATTCATAATACTGAATTTTTATGTGTGTGTTATTAAGCAAAATTTATGTTCATAATACGTTATTAATTATAATTTTTATTCAAAATACACGTTTTTATGTATGTACGTTAAATTATCAGTGTCTAATAGCACGTTTTTATGTATGTACGTTAAATTATCAGTGTCTAATAGCACAATCGAATGCGAAACACAGGTAGTACACGCCGCCCGATGATGCGTCTAGCGCGAGCCACCGGTGGTACACGCCGCCCGATGGCACAATCAAGCGCGAGCCACCGGTGGTACGCGCCGCCCGATGGCGCAATCAAGCGCGAGCCACCGGTGGTACGCGCCGGCGTGAACGTGTTAAATGTATATTCAACAACGAGAAACAAACAAGCAAACAACGAGCGAGCTAAAACCTTGTGGAAGTCATTCAGGAGGGTGACCTTGACAACATACATCAAGGTCAAGTTTATCGATATTGGTTCCCCTAAATCCCAGTTTTACCCAATATTTTCAAGCATCGGAGTAAAATTAATTTTTTAACCGACTTGTTCTGTGCATTCAATACAAACGTGCAGATAAAATAACGTTTTATCTTTTGTATATCAGCCATTGTAGATATCAATATATCGAAGTATTTTAATAAATGAATAAACCAAAAGCCATGGCAGAATTAAAGAAGTAGTAGCAGCGGTACCTTCTCTATTAGAGACCATAATTATGGGCCATGTGCCAGTATAAAACTATTTTATCATGCATAACCATATACCTTGCTGAGTGCAGTAATGGTGTAATAGTGATAAGATTTTACAGATAATAGAAGGACTTGCCATTGACGGTGGTCCACCCTGCCATTTTAACATGCACTTATGTCAAGAATGCAAGTACATTTTTTAGGCCTAGCGCATTAATTAGGTGCGCAGCAGTTTAGTTACGCTAATAATTCTGCGTATACCTATATCAGCGTTGTCTCACTTACAACTGATGCGCAGCTAAAAGTCTGAGTAACTAAGCAGTTCATATTTTGACCTTATTGATTAATGGTTTAGTTGTGTATGTCAGTGAGTGTTAACATTGGAGGATCAAATTGTTGCTCAACTATTGTACAAACTGATAACCTGTGCTTGGCTTTAAGGGGGTCTTATAGTCTAGAGGTCTGGAAAAATCTATTTTCTTTATTGTAACTTCTCATGATTTAAGGTGATATGAAAGGGTCATTTTATATATCAAACGTCAAAATATTTATAAAACTTTTCTCCAAACTGCAGTACAGAATGACCCTTTCATATTACCTTAAGTTCAATTAAATGAAAGAACAATTATAAAGGTCTACAGGGAAGAGTGCGTGCAAATGACTGAATCACAACTGCTTTATACGTTTATACGCGATTACGAGGCTGAAGATATTTTGAAGATCCTACAGAGGGTTTTTTCAACAAGGAAAAACTACCTCTACGATCCTAATCTGCTTAATTAGCTCTATGAAAGAATACAGAAGCATACTCATTTCATCGGAACCTAAATTTTTACCACGTTTATCTCGGAAAGACGATTTTTATGACGGCGTTAATGATATTTCCAGTTCCATTGGATCAAATTGGTCCAACTTTTCCATACCTGTTCAAAAAATGTACACGTCTAGCAGGTGACCGAATTTAGTCGAAATATTTTATTTTTGCAGTCGTTAAAATGTAAGAAAAGGGAGTAATCAAAAGTCAAATTTCAAAGTTTCGCTATTTTACAAATTTTTAATTTTTTATTATTTAAATAGATTTGTTACCAACTGTAGCCGCACTCTTACCGATTAAGAACCTTTTTCGTTCTTCTGTTTCGGATCAGCGGAACGGCCTGGATCATGTACGTCACATGGAAATGTTTTTTTTTTTGTCGAATGCTATATCTGATTACCTATATCTGCGATTTTCATTATTGGATTACTTGATGACTAGATTAGGAGACCCCTTTAACATTGAAACGTTTAGCTGTAATCACGTTAATTGTTTGAAGTAAATCTGCGAAGATTTAAAACGTTGCTTACATTTTACATGTTTTAACGAGTATAACATTGTTTCAGGTTTAGTTTTTTTAATAAGATGTGTCTGTGACATTTAATTGAAGTACAATACTTTCCTTACAATTTAATCGATACAAAGAATTCAATCCAAATTCACTGACCATTCCATATAGTTATAAGAATTTGAAGTAAAATTTATAGTGCCAATACATGTACTTCCTTAGTATTTAAACAGCCATCTGCCGTTACCATTACTGGTAAGATTGTGCCAATAAAAACTAGTGCCTTTATATTGCTGATCTTGTATTGTTATCTTAAATAGTAATAAACAATTTGTTATGATTTTATAATATTCTTGTCGAGTATGTAATGTTAGTTAAAGTTGCAAGCCTTCTTCAGATTGACCGTCTAACAACTGGATGTCCAAGTAACGAATTGAAAGAGCTTTTGGGATTGGTGCCAAGTGTCTTGGTAATGGAACTGGCGGACCTTCTGAGAACATAACATCTTTTCTTAATCTAATTTCGGTTCCGTTTTCACCCCATCCACGTAAAGACCATTCCCAACTGTTTGTAACACTGCTGGCTGTAATCCAGGCCACCTCATCCTTTTGCTGTGTAATAACATAAATATAATTAATATTTTCTTTTTCGGTAAATGCATTGGCATATAACACTGACAAGGAAAGTACCCAAGGTGTACCTCGTCGATTTTCTTCATTCTGTGATATGTTATAGTACATGAAAAAACATTAGAGATGTATTTCTTTATACGTGCTAACTCGGCGATTTAAGGGGTGAAATGGATCCGTTAAGTTCACCCCCGAAAAAAGTTTTTTTTTAATAGCTCAAGAACTATTGGGAATTTTGTAACGAGATACACATCATATTATTTGCCATGTATAGACGATATCATAGACTATCATTTTACCCCAAAGGATTACATCCCTCAAATTTTATAAAACAAAATGAAAATGTAAAAAATACAAAATTATGCCGATTTGAATCTAACCGATTTTGTTAGATAGAGCACAAAGAAACAAAATTTGTGTCCCGAGATTTTTGCAAAAAAATGTCTAGGGGTTAATTATTACTTAATATTTCTTATCGCCTTATACCCTAGTAGCACAGAATATATGACCTTATAAGTATATATAAGTACAAATTTTCTTTTTAGAAAGTTTAGTTACCTCCAATCAACAATATTATCACTTAATTTTGGCTGTTATTTTTAAAAGCATAACTTTATTTAATTTTGTTTGAGAACAGTCCCAGTAGAAAAGTATTTGCTGTGAGTAACACTTGAAGATAAAAGAATAGCATCTTATTTCTAATAATATTGAATAAAACATATAATTCTTTCATTTTTCAGTATAACACATACTTAACATTTTTTATGCGATCATCATTTTACATAAATTCGTAAAAGAATAATTTTACTCTTTATAGTCCGAACAATAATGATAATCAAGGAAAAAATGTTTCAAACATCATGATTTTTACACCATGAGCATTTTACTATAGCCACATTGGGACATTCATCAATTTCGCAGCGAATATTTAATTGTTTTCCGAATCCGAATTCAACTGGATTTTCAAAATTATCAGGTTTGACATCGGTATAGCCGCTTTTATACCATGAAAATTGAAATAAATATGGATACCTCGGTGAGGATAATCGATTATGAGTTAACAATTAAAGTTTTATAATATTATTTCTTACATGAAGATTTAAGTCTTCATTTATTAACAGTACTGCATCGGAAAAGTGTTTCACGTAATTTTTCCAAATTCTGAAGCCGAATACATCCAATGGTTAAATTTTTCTGGTTGTGCCTTTTGGTATAATTTTCAAAACTACTTCTTTATTTTTTTATTTAACATCTTTCACGACGGCAAGGCAATGTCCACTCTATAAGTCGATTAATAAAATGCGAAGTACTAGTTTTCGGGAGTGGAAAAGGCTTTTAATTACAGTATATTAGTGAACACACTAATGAATATCTTTATATTTTTTTTTTTGTTAAAATGACTGTCAACCCAATCAACGTGCTAAATGTATTGTTAGCTTCATTTCAAACGCTAAATTTGGCAGATACTCCAATAACGCGGCAGGAAATCGATTTAAAAAAACAGCATACAAAAAATACTCCTTGCTCATGGTGTAAAAATCATGATATCTGAAACATTTTTTTCATGATTATCATTATTGTTCGGACTATAAAGAGTAAAATTATTCTTTTAAGAATTTAGGTAAAATGATGAACGCATAAAATATGTTAGGTATATGTTACATCGAAAAAATTGTCGAAAAATGGCTATTTTGTTTTATAAAATTTGAGGGATGTAATCCTTTGGGGTAAACTGATAGTCTATGATATCATCTATACGTGGCGAATAATATGATGTTTATCTCGTTAGAAAATTCCCACTAGTTCTTGAGATATTTAAAAAAAAAACGTTTTTCGTGGGTGAACTTTAAGGGTCCATTTTACCTCTTAAATCGCCGTTAGTACATATAAAATAATACGTCTCTAATGTTTTTCATGTACTATAACATATCACAGAATGAAGAGAATCGGCGAGATACACCTCGGGTATTTTCCTTGTGAGTTCATTTAAATCAATTATTTGTTTTCATATGGAAATAAAAAATTATCTAGGATTTCATGCTTAAGGGGCCTTGATAGAGACCAAGTCGGTAACGCCGATACCGAATTGGTTGGCAAGGTGTTACTATTGGCAACGCAGTAAATTGTCAGCTGACAATGAATGTGGCAACATTATAAAATGACGATCACTATCTTCGATAACAAAGACTGATGTATAAAAAAGTTCATTTAATTTCGGAAAGGCGCACCAATTGATTAAGCCAATTGCTTTTTGTATCAAGGCACCTTAAAGGTAGTAATAAAAAACTTATTTACATTTATTATGTTGTAATACTTTTGAAGTAACATATTTTTTTCAATTTAACTTTATCTAATATTTTTATTTAATATGGATGAATTTTTATGTGATGATGAATTTAAATTATCTTAAGAATTTCACGTTAGTGTTATTTCCATTTCTTCTTAAATTTAACTTCTTAATTAACTTGGACAGTAACACATTGACTGTCACCAGCCACTGATGGCCGGTAATCGCATTGCAATATAATCATTTGTTTTAGTAGTCAATGTGATAATTATTACTTAGAATTATTATTGAGGATACCTGAAATAAAAATACTTCACCACCATGATGTAGTAAGTAAATTGCATTTTGTCCAAAGGGAAGAGGTACAGGTATTGTTGCACGACCTCCATAAAAGTGCACTTGGGGTCCTTCGTGCATTTTACCAAGATGATCCATTAGTGTTTCTTGCGTAAGCATCTCATTACAATGACTTCTTAAGCCAAGTGGACATTTAATAGTTCCTGTTGTGACAGAATCAATTGAGCCACCCCACACTGGAGTCTCCACTTGCAGCTGCGATAACCTGACATTAAAACAGATACAAAGCAAAATTTGTATTTCTGTACTTAAATGAAGGGTGTTTTACTTAAATTAATTAACCATATCGATTTTATTTTGATACATACATTCCATCCCATTAACATATTAAAGGCTCAAGCTCATTGTGCCGGGGCGGATCGTAGCGCATCGCATTGCAAAAACCCATCCGAGATTGATTTAATCGATTTTGTATGGACTATCGCATATTACAGACGGGGTGTATTAGGTCCCTACCTAACATATTATTTTAAGTAATATTAAGAAAGCGACTCTAAGCAGCGCGTCTCGTGCTCCAAAACGCTCCTAGAGACACACTCTCCCTCGTTCTGTATCTCTCCTTTGTTTCTCCGAGTACTTCCGTACCCCAAACTAGATCACAGCCCTGGGAAAAGTCAAACATTCAGATTCTCTGGAAAAGATGCTTTCCACCTGTTTCCCCTTCAACCTGCCCCCAAACCAATCATATGAGACATTTCCCTTCTCAATCTTAAAAACCCACCAATAAGCATCCTTCTCTGCATCTAGGAACACCCTAGTTTAGTATAAAAAGGCCCGCTCCGAAGGGCTCGCTCTCTGATCTATCGATGTTTGAACTGTCTCCATTCTGTAACCTGCGTGCGAGGCACCTGTAACTCTGGGTGAACACTAGCCCCCTTGAGTTGACTAGTCTACGAGTCATTCTTGTAAACCAAGAGGCACCGAAAATAAAGTATATTTATTACTTTACTCGACGAGGTCTTTGGCTGATTTCAACCATGTGGAAGCGAGTCCCAAAAACAAACCCACGAGGCCCGGTCCGATCGATATCCTCGGGCAACCATTATCGCCGCTCCTGAGCAAACGATCCCCGACCTAACAGGTGCAGCGGGGTGCATGGACAGATCGCTCGCTAGGCGGTTTTTAGCGCGAACCGCTGCGATCGGTTAAATTGTGCGACGAATCTGCGCAATAGCACACGCAACGTGAAACATGTATCACACGGGGGCGTGAGTTTTGAACTTCCAGGTAACTATCAGTGCCATTACCGTTGTTATATAGGCGAATTGAAAGTTTACTCGTAATATACCGTTAGCACATATAGGCCCTCGGCAATTCTTATCGGCGCGGCGCGTAAACTATTTTTTTTTCATCTTTGAGCAAATCTTCAAAATGATTTGAAATATTTTAAATAACTTTCTTTTGGAGCAAATATTGCAACACCATATACTACGTTTTCTACTTTTGGTTCTTTTTTTCCATTTCTTTGTTGAAAAGAATTTTAAATAAATAAAGTTCTTCGTCAGAACTATCCATTTTGGAAAACGTCCGGATGAAAACAGAGTCAATTGACAACTGAAACGAAAACTTGATATTTTAATACGATGCGCTGCGGCTCAACCCGTCTATAATGTGCGAGAGCCTTAAATGTCTTATAAGGACTGATGTAGAAGCAATGAAATTCAGTCAAAAAGTATAGAAGTTGTAAGATATTGTCAAACACGTCTGTTTTCCTCGATGAGGTCCTACAGATAGTATGTACACCCTGTTCTACAAAGCCCATCATCATACCTTGGAGATTCATCTTCGTATTCTGAGGGCCTTTTACCATATCTCGAAGGACTTCTTTCATCACAATCAGAATTGGGACTAAGTTCTCCGGTACTAGCTGATTTTGTACGGTCAGCCACACTCAGCTCTGATCTGGATCTAAAATCTTTAGAATTTCCATGCGAAGAACAGGATAGGTTTTCAGCGGAGGCAGCCTTATCAAATCCTTTTAACAGTTTTGTAAGTAATCGTTCTGGTTTTGTGCCACTAGGCCCTGCTGATTCTGTTCTTCGATTTTTACCAAATATTTTCTCTCTCAAGGAACGGCATCCCTGCGACTGTTGAATGTCAAAGGCCTCTCTCAGGCTTCTATGAATCTGATCCGCCAGAAGACATCTACCTTGACCAAGCCGAACCCTACAGACTGGACAACGACTTGCCTTCGGCCTACATCCTACGCACAGTATATGACCGTGGACACACTGCGATACCGGGGAAGCTGCACTTTCAAGGCATACAGGACATTCCAAGGCTCGTACTGTTCCAGAAATTGCATTTGCCAGCTTTTTTGCTACTTCTGGTAAAGGGCCTTCTAAAGCCGTAACGTTGCCTCCGGCTGTTTCAGAATGTTTAGATGTTTCTTGGTTGCTGCGAAAAACTCGAAGGCTTAACTCATCGTTTTCATATGTTCGTATCAAGGAAGCTATTTCTTTTACACGTAAACCTACTACGTCCGTGCCATTAATAGATAGAAGGCAATCACCAGACCTAAAATAAAACGTATTTGTTTAATTTCTTGAGACTCATTTTGTACTATTTATGTACACCCGCATGACATGTAAAGAGATACAAAATGTACATTCGGTATATACGATCACTTATAAATTGGATGATTTCTTGTCATTAAAGAGATCCTCTACTGATGCGCAAATTTTGTACTAGCTTGGTTTTTGGAAAAAAAATTGAATTTTTCTGCGAGGAGGCGTCGCGCCTATACTGTGCCGTCAGTGGCAAGTGCGGCGGGGGGGGCCCCCGCGGGGGGCGCCGCTTGAATTTTTCTGCGAGGAGGGGGGGGGGGGGGGGTGCTAGGCACTCAAAAAGCTAGCACCCCCACCATAAAAAAAGTATTTAAATAATCGAAAATAGGTGAAAACTTAGCAGCAAATTATGTGCTCTCCGAAAATCATATTCATAAATGCAAATTTCCACCCCTAAGTCTGAAAACCCACCCCCATTAAAAAATCCACAAGAGGTAACTATCCGATCGCAAGGAGAAAATTTAAACTATTTACGCTGAAATTACTCTCAGAATTATGTGCTATTCGAATTCAATAGCGCCGAATTTTGTGTTGCACCCCCAAGGTCCCAAACCCACCTCTATCAAAAATCCTACAAGAGGTAAGTATCTAATCGCGAGGAGAAAATTGAAACTTTTTAGACTGAAATTACTACCAGAATTATGTACTTTTCCAATGCGATTGCGTCGAGTTTTGTGCGTCATTGCATAATTATGTTATAGTTTATTTAGTTTACCGTGCGTATAGAATTATCCCCTCAAAACACCTTCGGTGTACAAAAATTTAGCCAAATACATTTATCTTTATTCAATTAATTGCAAAAATAGCTCAAATTGCTCCCTTCCCATGAAAAGCTAAAATTAGCTATTTTTGCCAAATATATATAGAACATTCATTCCATGAAAGTCTTAGCTAAAATCTTTTTGTCAAATGTCACAGTACATTTAGTTTCACGTATGTTGTATGTACAAGATTTTTTGCTTCCCCAAACCGAAAACAAATATTAAAAACTATATCGAAACAAATAAAAAAATTTGAAAACAATATTTTATTTGACCAGCACTAAAATCATCATATGCTAGGAGTGCCTCGAGGATCATACCTCGGGTGCTCGCCGAATAAAATATTGTTTTCAAATTTAGTTTCTAATTTTTTTTATTTGTGTCGATATAGTTGTTAACATTCGTCTTCGGCTTGAGGACGCAGAAAATCTTGTACATACAACATACGTGAAACCAAATGTACTGTGACATTTGGCAAAAATATTTTAACTGAGTCTGTAATGGAATTAATGTTCTACAATATTTGTCAAAAATTGTTGATTCGAGCTTTTCATGGGAAGCGAGCAATTTGAGCTATTTTTGGAATTAATTGAATAATGATAAATGTATTTGACTAAATTTTTGTACATCGAAGGTGTTTTGGGGGGATTTCACTCCTTTGTCTGAAAAGAAATGTTGTCTCCATTATTAATAATAAAATCAGCAAATGTATCTGATACAATCCTATAATATCAAAATATAATTACTACAGCCATGTAATTTGATAAAAAGTTACTAAGAATATGTATATTTCGTATACGTAGTATATATAAATATATTTTTTTTATCAACATCCTCAACATTTTTTAATGGCACCATAATTTATTCGCCAATGTGAATATTCAAATTCTTGTATCAAATTAGGATTTCGCGACCACAAAAACCGTGAGAAACCCAATTTTATAAAAATCCAACCATTTTTACATTTTTATCTGCTATATTAGATCATGCCATGTTAGGTCTGTTTTCAATTTTTAAATTCTGTTCCCAGAACTGGATTCATCGACCTCGTAGATCTTGGAAAACCCGTTTTATTTTAATAAAAAATGCAACAATTTTGTAATTTCCTGTCCACCATTTTGAATTTCAGAATTTTGTTGTCACATTTGGATTCAGCGGGCACGACTACGGTAAAAAACTCATTTTAATAAAAATCCAACCATTTTTACATTTTTATCCGCCATCTTGAATTTCAAAATTTTGATACCAATTTTGGGTTATGCGGGTACACAAACCACGCTAAATTGTTTTTTATAATAATCCAATCGTTTTGTTTATTTATTAAATTTGTTTATTTATTAAATTATATTGTTGGCCATATCAGATCCGCCATTTTGAATTTTGAAATTCGCATTCTGCTGTTATATTCGAATACAGTGATTCCAAGATTGTAGAGAAATACTTTTGTGTGCTAAACATGAAATCAGTCTGAAATTTTTTGTTCGCCATATTGGGTCCGGCATTTTGAATTTTGAAATTATATTATCTGACCTGGCTTCAGCGATATCAAAAACATTAAAAAACTTTTTTTATATAAAAATCCAATGATTTTAAAGCTGGTGTGGGTATAGTTCCTTTTCGTTCCGCGCGTGGCGATGTCACATGTTGGCTGCCCAAAAACTATCTGAGAGTCCACCTATCATGTCTGTGCGAAAAAGTAGTCTGTGACTGGGGCGACGACGATGATGATAACAGAACCACGAGTCTGAGAGTGCTGAAAAACTTTAAGATCCTATATCTTCACGTAGGTACCAGCGATCGAAGCCGGGTGAATTTAAACAAATTCCTGATTTATTGCTCAATTTGTTTAGCTGATCAGACGTCCGTTTCTTTTTCTATAGTAATGGAGAGATTCCCATTTCCCCCACTCCTGAAATCTCGATTCTTGGCGTATACAACTCTGTAGCGTCTCGCTCGAGCTCAAGCGCGCAGGGCGCGTTTCTCTCGGCACGCAATGCTGTGGGTTTCTCACACAAAATTGTATTTGGCTCGAAACTCTACCTAGTTTCTTGATACGTGATATTAACAAAAATATACTTTTTACAAGTATATGTTGTCTTAATGGAAAATCAATTCATACACGGACACGACACGGACATGGACGGAAATCTCGTTGAACCAAACAAATATTTCTTTGAATAATATCACAGTGTTGAATCCCGGTGTTGTAGTGATAAAATACTATTATTTTGAACAGCTTACAATGTGAAAACTTGCAAAGCCTTAGGCTCGACGCTTGTGAGAAGGTTTGCTCTGCTTCACTCGTGGAAATCTAGTATGATCTTGTTGGATTTGAACAATTGTTGTTGTTGCTTCGCAGAGAAAGGAATAAGGTCACTCATTTAAATCAACTACATCAATTTTTCCTCTAAAAAACGATTGTTTCTTGCAATAATTTATAATTCAGGTAACAATATATATTTCTTTTAGTCAACTTATCTTTTTTCTCAAAGTAATATTGTTATTTTTGCGAATATTATCTGAGTTCCACGAAATAATGTTGTACCACCTATTTATTTCATATAGTGTTCATTCTTTTAATTTTTAATAAATTCTATAAATTTAATAATGTGCACAGAATAATTAGAAGACATTCTTGCGGGTACCAGTACATACATATTGCTTTTGTACACGTATTAGATTAACCCTTTGCGGTCGTAATAAATTTATACAAAGGTGTTTTGGTGGCTGAGAGTAGACATACGACTGAAAAGGATTAATAAGGACTGATTCACCTGGCTAAAAAAAGGTATGTAATCAGAGTTACGTTACATTGATTTACATATTTTTATTACAATTGTAAATTGAATTCTGAAAACATTTCAAACATTGCATATCTATAGTATGATATATTATTTCAGAATATTGTTTTAGAAGTATCGATTACTGTTCAATTCTTATAAGAAAAACACTTCTTAAGGATAAATTTTTATCTTAATTTTTTTTTTAGCGTGAACCATCGGCACCAATCTGTATACAAACTGGATAGCTGTATCCTACAAAATGGCGGGACGTTTTGAAGCGACCACAAAGGCCTCTGATTATGAACACATTGACTAATATTGTAGTATTAGCGCATGCATCAAAACAACGCGTAATTCAACTATAAATTACATAAGAGGTGTCAAATTAATTTACTGGAAGAAAAAGTAGGAGTAAAAATTAGAAAGAGACGAATCTGCTTTTGACAAGGTTACATTTTTTTTTTTTCACGTGCGCGTTACATTCTGTTTTCCAGGTCCTCTTAAGTGCCACAATGGACTCACAGAATAACTATTTTTATCAAGAAAAAGACAATAATGCATTCTTCCAACTAATTCTGGATACAATTTTAAATGGTGTAAAGTCAAAAACATATGCAAACCGATTAAATATCGTCATGAGGATGTTCAATATGACAAAAAAAATTGGAAATAATATCTTAATTGATTGTCAAACTACCATAGATGCCATGTAGCTGAAACTGTTTAGGCAATACCCAAGTTTAGCGAAGAATCAAGGTGCAGGGCGGGTTGTCCACCACGAATAAATATATTAAAAGCGCGGTTATTGCACGAACTGCAATAAGTAATAAATAAATTAAATAAATTAATCGGACCAGCGGTTGAAGAAAGGATAACGCAGGGTCCAACAAAATGATGTCAACATAATTGCAGCGGAGTAGAAACAACAACAGTGGTAGAAATGGGTAACTATTTTACAATCCTTCAATATGTTGAACATATTCAATAAACAATTATAGTGTTCTACTTAATAATTCATATTTCAATACATCATAGATATTGATGCTTGCATGAAAGAGTGGTACAAATGTTACAAAGGGAATTCTAACTACTGGGACGTTTTCATTAAATGAAACCGTGACATTAAGAAACTCGAATCCTCGCCGCGCGGTCGCATAGGACAAGGGCCAAATTCGGGAAAGGTCCAGGTTTCTCCGGGTCCCCACACGGACCCCTCCCAACTTCCTCCCTTTTTCTCGCGGATTCCGTTAGTCCGTAACCGGCCCTTGAATGAGAGAAAAGAGAGGCGGTCGGATCACCCCGCGTGACCCGCCCGCGAAAATGCCTGGTCGGTCCCCCGCGCGTCCACGAGCAGGTGCGGCTGCTAGTCGCCCTGCGCGACCAGTCGACCGTAGAAAAATATAACCCGACGAAATTGGGAAGTAGAAAAAAGGGGCGGCGGCTTGCGGCACTCGCGATACGCGGACTTTCCGCAGAGAAATTGGGCGAAAAACATTGGACCGCGGTCCGCGGGCGCTTTTATAGGGTTCCCCTTCATTGGCTTCTGGAAACTTCGGTGATGTCCTATTGACTCAATTTGGATTTCCTTGGGCCAATTAGCAGGTTCGGGTATTCGGACAAAGGTTCTCGGCCGGCGCGCTCCCGGGGTGGAGCGCCGCCGGGGGCCGGCGCGCGGCCGACTCGCGCCACGCGCGAGGACCAGGGCTAGAACTTGTGAGGCCCCCCTCGCCCCCGGGCCGGTTGGCAGATTCCACGCCGATGATGTCGGGTCCTGGTGCCCTGGTCTGGGATCGAAACCCCTCTGCCGAGGAGTCGCCCTGGATCCCCGAGGCGCCGCTTGACCTTTGTCCGCGCGGTTTTTTTTGCCCCGTCTGCCGCACCAATCCATGACCGCGGACGAGCTCCTCGGGGACATAGAGGTGCCTGCCTCGGCGGTGTCCGGAATGTCGCAGATGGGCTCGCCGATCCGGCTCCTGGCCGGGAAGTCGGATCCCTCCCCGCGGACGGACTTCCTGATGCTGCCAGGGCGAACTGAGCCGCTGCCTCTGCGGGTCCGACCTTCGCATTATCATGATGGCCCGGGGGTGGACAGGTGCTGCCCCAGGTGGCGAAAGTTGCCTCGTATCTGTGTCCCGGATGTTCCTCTGGATGCCCCGTAGTCGCCTTTCTGGCTGATGTCTTGCCGATCCTGGATGTTTGGGGTCGTCCCGCGGCAGGCAAACGTTGCGCGATTCCAGCCGGGCAGCCGCGCTTACTGTCTAGGATTTTTGACGAGGTTTTGAAGCGCTGAAATATTCACGCAAGGCCAAGGAAATATAATTATATGAAATATGCAGTTATTAATGTAGCCTATCACCAAAGAGATTACCTACAATGGCATTGTACTTCGTTACAAGTACCTAATACATCACAGGGACTGAATTAATTGAACTCCAGGTACGTTAATAGAAATTTAAAACTGCATATTTCAGCAAGAGGAAAAGAAATAGGTACTAGAGTTGGATTAATTCATCCAATCTTCAATCAACAAGGGTTCTCTACCTACTGCCTTAAAAGCGCCTTCTTGAGTTCGTGCAAGATATTGAAAAATAAAGTTAATCGAATTGGTCCGAAAGGCGAGATGGAGAAATAAAAGATATTTCAAATGGCCAGTGGCGCTCACCGTCCCTTCTCACTCATTGTCAGCCATCTGTCACCCGAGCTAGGGGTTCTCTGACGTCTTGGCCGAAATAAAATGACCCCTTTTGTGACGGTATTTCCCATTCCGAAATGCACGTCATACATTACATCACACTATCTTTCCCTCCTGGCTTTGCACAGGAGTCAAGAAAGAACTCGAATGACTGTTTTTTCGACTCGTTTTACTTATACGCTTTAAGTTGTTAATTTTTTACACTTTTCGAAAGTTTAGAATCCAAAATGAAGAGTTTCAGGACCTAGCTTGAACAATTTAGAATATAAAAATGAAATATTACAGTCTGTTGGGAAAATATGGAAAATATTTTCACGAACGATTATAAGGGAATGCTGACTTCTTCCATGGGTAATATGCATTTTTAGAGCAAACTTTTAGTTGCAGCTAAACGTCACAGATGGCGCCGTTGATTCGTTAGAATAACAAAAATCATGAATCCACAGGACTCTCACAGTTTTACTTCAATCTTTTTATAATTATTCTACGAAAATGACACATGGAACACTTCAGTTTACACAATTCTCAACGTAGACTGTAACAAATTTTAATATAAATGGTAAATGTCGGTAATGTGGCACGCCAGCTTATGTTACCACTTGAGTATCAAAAATGGCGTTAGCGGAAGAAAGGGTATACATGAATTCATTTTATCGACGTCAATTAAATTTCTCAGCATCTTTCATATCACTTTAAACATTAGTAAATTTCAATGTTAATATATTATACATAAGAATAATTATGCTCGATATTAGTCTACACGATAAATGTGATTTTAAAATTATTCTGAATAGTTTTTCCTTAATATCATCATTCTTAAACATAACGTCGTAAATTTTAAGTAAAATCCTACAAATTTTTCAAAAATTTGAAGAAGATTATCTTTTTAATAATTCATGATAAACAGTTTAAGATTTTATTCTGATAATGTAAGGTTTGTTAGGTTTTGATCATCTTACATGACCGATGCCTATTTTGTATGAAAAATAATGATTCAATTTAATATACCTGTTTTAACTTAAAAGTACAGACATCACTATTGATATCTAAATACTTATGTTTAAAGAATTCTTACTTCAAATCTGCTTTTTCGGCAATACTTCCGCGTTCGACGGATCCAATCCAAGGATAAGGGTCCCATTTTGATCGACTTAAATGAAATCCGCAGCACTTTTTGCTTCGTGACGCAGAATCCTCATAATTGTTCAATTTGAGCACAAATACCTCATCGGATGCCGGTGTAATTGTCATTGATACAGCCATCTGTCACAATTACCACGAAATGTTTATCGAAGCCCTTACTACAATAATTCTTATTCACTCCAATAATTGTATGAATCAAGGAAACACGGAAACAATGTTAGGATGCTAACAACAAAAAGGATAATTGTATGTTAAATTCAGTATTTTAGTTATTTAATAGTACAATTCAGGTTACACATTACTAACAAATCTGTACAGAAAATAAACTTCAGTTAAGTAAAATAATGCTTGTTTCGTGGATAAGGGGAATGAAAAAACAATTTCAAGATCTTGTCAATAAGTAAAATATTTTTGGTTCGATTTAATTATTTAGCAATGTAAGTTGCAAAACATCTATGAGGAACCCAGACATTAGTGCACTCATCGAATATATGATATTTAAAACAATGAAATGGCTTGTTAAACGACTTGTCACTTTTATCTGATGCTTAAAGAAGACATTGAAATAATTTAAAGATTTTGTTATGAATTGAATATCAATTGACCTGATTAATATAGGTAATAAGAGTAATTGAATGTATAAGTCACAAAATGTGTTGATGGTTATTACACTTATGAAGTATTAAAGTGGATTTTTAATTCCTTGTTAATCTCAAGAAGGATTCTCCGAATGAACTCGATGTCGGTGATTAGGCAACTGAACGTCTCGGTGCGCTCATCAGACGATGTAAAAGTTGTCGCTACCGGTTTGCCTTCACCCAAATCTTTGCACTTGGCATCGATTCTAACGAGGAATCGTTCAAGCACAGCTGAGTTGAGAAACCGTACCTAAAACATTCATTTGATGCTGTCCTTGTTATTTTACAAACAACTGTGTCTACCACAATAACGTTTAGAAAGCGCTGCTCTAGATGGAACGTACTCTTTATCCTCATTTGTGTTCAATAAACAAGAAACAGCTATATTATGAATAATGCTAAAATCCCACGGAATGAATAAATGTTTATAACAATATAATTTAAGAGGTAACTTTCTCGACGGTAATTTCTTCAAGCACCCTGCAATGTACAGGGTGGTCCACAAATAAGTTTGGTTTTGAAAATTAAATATTAAAAATTATTACTTTACGGAATAGTATATTGCGTATCAAATAGACGAAATGGGCTCTTTTATGCCTGACATGATTTTCCATCACAAGCCGAAAGCATAATACACACGATACTGTATGGAACAAAAGCATGGTTTATGCGTCTTTTTGTGCATGCGTACTACTGTACAAATATGCGAATTTTTTCGTCCCAAGACGTTTTGAGATACTTTTCTGTACTATTCTCCCTCCCTGCTGTTTGTTTACATTCACCATCGTAGAAAGGTTATCATTAGGTACTGAAGGCAGTCACGAAAAGTCGTGTAAACCATGCTTGCGTTACATAATAGTATATTATAATAGTATATTATGTAACGCAAGCATGGTTTACACGTCTTTTCGTGACTGCCTTCAGTACCTAATGATAACCTTTCTGCGATGGTGAATGTAAACAAACAGCATAAAAATGCTCCACCCACTACCCCGTCGATCCCAAGAAATAGATACACCGCCAACTCTCCAACGATACTTTCCCTCTCAAACTCCACTTTTATGCGAGCGGAAAGTGACTATTTTCCTTGCACGAGAGGTAAAGTGTGACATAGTCGGCTTTATGCGATCGGAAAGTAACTACTTTTCTGCTTCGGTAGGTAAAGTGTGACGTGGCACGTAATATGCAGCATTTGCTACGTTCGATAAGCACCGAAAGTCGGACTTTCGGTTGAAGGAAGGATGAAATCAAGAAACTCGGTAGAGTTTCGAGCCAAATACATTTTTAAGCGACAAACTCACAGCGTCGTGTGCTGAGAGAATCGCGCCCCGAGCGCTTGAGCCTGAGCGAGGCGCTACCAAGGATTCAGATTTCAGAATGGGGAAAATGTGAATCTACTCTCTCCATTACTATAGAAAAAGAAATGGACGTCAGATCAGCTAAAAAAATTGACCAATAAATCAGGAATTTTTTTAATTTACCCGGCTCCGATCGCTAGTACCTTCGTGAAAATATAGCATCTTAAATTTTTCAGTACACTCAGAATCGTGGTTCTGTTATCATCATCGTCGTCGTCCCAGTCACAGACTACTTTTTCGCACAGACATGATAGGTGGACTGTTATATAGTTTTTGGGCAGCCAACATGCGACACCGCCTCGCGCGGGACGCAAAGAAACTATACCCATCCCAGCTTTAAACTGATTGGATTTTAATAGAAAAAAGGTTTCCTAATGTTTTTGATACCGGTGAAGCCAAGCCAGATAATATAATTTCAAATTCATAATGACAGACACGAAATTACAAAATGGTTGTATTTTTCTAAGAAAAAATGAGTTTTGCAGATTTTTGAGGTTACTGAATCCAAATCTGACAATAGAATTTTAAAACTCAAAATAACGGATACAAAATTTAAAAATTGTTAGATTTTTGTTAGAAAAAATTGTTTCTCAATATTTTTAATTTCATTGACTCCAAATCTGTAAATAGCATTTTAAAATTCAGAATGATGGATCCAATATGGCGCATAAAAATGTAAAAATGGATGGATTTTTATAAAAATGAGTTTCTCACGGTTTTTGTGATCGCTAAATCCTAATTTGATACAAGAATTTGAATTCACATTGGTGAATAAATTATGGTGCCATTAAAATTGTTGAGGATATTGATAAAAGAAATATATTTATATATACTACGCATACGAAATATACATATTCTTAGTAACTTTTTATCAAATTACATGACTGTAGTAATTATATTTTGATATTATAGGATTGTATCAGATACATTTGCCGATTTTATTATTAATAATGGAGACATTAACATTTCTTTTCAGACGAAGGAGTGAAATCCCCCCAAAACACCTTCGATGTACAAAAATTTAGTCAAATACATTTATCTTTATTCAATTAATTGCACAAATAGCTCAAATTGTTCCCTTCCCATGAAAAACTCGAATCAACTATTTTTGCCAAATATAGTAGAACATTCATTCCATTAAAGACTCAGTTAAAATCTTTTTGTCAAATGTCACAGTACATTTGGTTTCACGTATGTTGTTTGTACAAGATTTTCTGCGTCCTCCAACCGAACACAAATGTTAACAACTATATTGACACAAATAAAAAAAATTAGAAACTAAATTTGAAAACAATATTTTATTCGGCGAGCAGCCGAGGTATGATCCTCGAGGCACTCCTAGCATATGATGATTTTAGTGCTGGTCAAATAAAATATTGTTTTCAAATTTTTTTATTTGTTTCGATATAGTTTTTAATGTTTGTTTTCGGTTTGAGTACGCAAGATATCTTGTACATACAACATACGTGAATCCAAATGTACTGTGACATTTGGCAAAAAGATTTTAACTGAGTCTTCAATGGAATTAATGTTCTACTATATTTGGCAAAAGTAGTTGATTCGAGCTTTTCATCGGAAGGGAGCAATTTGAGCTATTTTGCAAATTAATTGAATAAAGATAAATGTATTTGACAAAATTGTTGTACACCGAAGGTGTTTTGAGAGGATAGTATATTACGAGAGGGTGGCGCGGTTACTAACCGCGATTTCGGATTCATTATTCGTCCCCTGATCATTTTAATCAACCGATCGCCGAAACTCGATCATGCCATCGGAATATTTTTGATTTAATAGTTTTTATGAGATCCTGGGGTGTCGAATTTTAAAAAAATAAATGCCAAATTCGGAATCAGCACCCTGGAAATCCTCGAAATAGGTAAACAAATTTTTTTAAAGTAAGTATTTCGATCCCTTCGCTGTAAGTCGAACAGGAGAAGTCGAATTCGAAATCTGATGAAACTTTTGACTTCCTCGAACTCGATTTAAGGGGGACATGTATCGGCGACTTTCAAAATACGAACCGGAACCCTCCGAAAAAGCGTTGCCTTTGTTTCGTGACACACATACGCACGAAAACAGCGCTTTAGTAAATAGAGAAAAAAAAGAAAAGATGTACCTAAGGGGTGAAGATGAACTTTTCAAAACGAGTGTAATTTTTCAGAACGAGTAGGAGGCAAACGATCACTGACCTTAGATATCCAGACATCGCCCTGCACTGGAAGGAGTAAACGAATTTACCACGTGACCCAACCGGTCACCCACACAATTAAAGCCAATATGGTTACTAAAAATTCGGGAGTGGGAGGTCTAATGCGAGGTTTAAATGTATATGGTCTAAGGCACTAATGGTGGCTTCACATGCGCGCGTAACGCAGAACGTAGTCAGATAACCGAGTTCCCTTCCCTTCGGTTCATGCAGCTAGTTAGCTGAAACTTAAATCATTTATTTTCGTTGCATTCGCGCGGGAAGATTGCGGCGAAGACGACTCGTTTTCCGACATCATGCAAAGTATTTTAATCGGCGGCGGCGGCAGAGCCTCAAAGGGAAGGGACAAGAATCGCCCCTATAGAAAGATTTGATGAATAATAACGCAACATTCTCGTCTGAATTGTTTCACCGCATGGTGGGTGGTCGGTAAAAATACTTTGTAATGTCGCGAAAATCTTTCTAAGGAGGCGAGTAGGTATACTGGGCCGGTTCTGGACAGATTAGTATGCGTGTACACATACACGGACACCCACACATGCGCAGCGCCGGCCTATGCGTGTAGAGTCCCTCCCCCTCCCCCTTTCCCCTTGCCGGCAAGCCCCTGGGCCCCTCGTGTGCGTGCACACGTACACGGGCACACACCCATGCGCACCGCTGGCCTATGCGTGTGAGCCCCTTCCCCCTTTCCCCTTGCCCGCAAGCCCCTGGGCCCCTCGTGAGCGTGCACACGGGCACGCACCCATGCACACCGCTGGCCTATGCGTGTGAGTCCCCTTACCCCCAACCGCCTTGCCTACCCCGCCCGTCGGACTCCGCTACACCCTCTGAAAGGTTGACGCAACGTTTTCTCCCTCACTCCCGCGGACGACACCATCAAGATCGGAATTTGCCGTCAGCCATTCGATTCCCCGAATTCTGCCATCCGCCACTCGATTCCAAGAATCTTGTCGCGAGTCTTCCACCGCTGCGGGGACCAAAGGTGCCGACGCGATTCTTGGAATCGAGTGGCGGATGGCAGAATTCGGGAATCGAATGGCTGACGGCAAATTCCGATCTCGATGGTGTCGTCCGCGGGGGTGAGGGAGGAAACATTGCGTCAACGTTTCAGAAGGTGTAGCGGGGCCCAGGGGCTGGTAGGCAAGAGGAAAGGGGGAGGGGCTCACACGCATAGGCCAGCGGTGCGCATGGGTGTGTGCCCGTGTACGTGTGCACGCACAGGAGGGGCCCAGGGGCTTGCAGGCAAGGGGAAAGGGGGAGGGGGAGGGACTCGCACGCATAGGCCGGCGCTGCGCATTTGTGTGTGTGTGTCCGTGTACGTGTGCACGCATACTAATCTGTCCAGAACCGGCCCAGTATACCTACTGAGGCGGTTCTTGCCCATCTCCTTAGAGACTCCGCCGCCGCCGCCGATTAAAATACTTTGCACGATGTCGGAAAACGAGTCGTCTTGATCGAAATGTTCCCGCGCGAAAACAAATGGTTTGAATTCTAGCCAACTACTGCTTAAAATCTGCATTATCGACCGAACAATCTACTTCACCGATCGAGCAATCTACCTTTTTGCAGGTCTAGCAATCTACTTTACCGACTTATGGGCGCAGGGGTCTATCATACCGACGTCGGACACGCGTACGTACGTGGCGGCTTGCGAGAAGAGGGTATTACGTCATCAGCAGGAGGCATGGTGGGGGGGTCCGAGGAACGGGGGCGGGTGGGGGTGTAACGTTTCAGTGCGAGGCGTGCTGGGAGCATTAGTGGGAGACATGATGGGGGCATTACTGGGGGGCATGGTGGGGGGGGTCCAGAATACGCCTTTTGATATCTACTCGGAATACTTAAGTGGTAACATAAGCTGGCGCGTCACTTTACCGACATTTATATTTATGTTGGCTTTTTACAGCCTACGTTGAGAATTATAAGAAATAAAGCATTCCATATGTCATTTCGTTAAAATAATGATGAAGAGATCATCGTAAAACTGTCGAAATCTCGTGAATTCATGACTTTTTAATTCTAACGGACCAACGGCGCCATCTGTGACGTTTAGCTTCAACTAAATTTTTGCTCTGAATACACGTGTTAGTCACGGGACGAGCATTGCGATCCTTGGTTTAAAGTATTTTCCACACCTGACTCTGTAATATTCCATTTTTACGGTATTCTAAATTGTTCGAGCTAGGTCCTGAAACCACTCATTTTCGATTCTAAGCCTCCAAGAAGAAACATTGAAACCGTGCACAGACCACGCCATATTGGTTCTAGTCCATGACAAATAGATACATTTTTTATAACAAATGAAATTTCATGAGTTTCAGGACCTACTTCAGTTCTAAACTAAACAGATTGGAATCTAACATAACATTTATTAAAATGTTAATCATGTAACGAAATGTTATATTTACACAATTCATGAATTTCAGTTCTAGTACATTCATATAATAATCTTTATGCAACAAATTGACACTAATACTTATAGAAGAACGTTCGAATAACTATGCACTAACGCTATTTTAGTTACAGTTAGCATAATGTACTAATGATATGTATTAATATATACAATAAAATACATCTAATATTAATAATAATAATATTACATAATAATGATAGTAAAAAAAATGTAGTTTCTCAAGATGCACATCTATTCTTTTGTTAATGACGATGCATTTTTTGCTATTTACATTTTGAATTTGATTAGATATTAACAATCTCAGATAGTATACTACTTAATGTAATAATAGGAATAGGTAATATTTTAGAACACTATTGATATAGAATATTTAAGCACTGATTTAATGTATGTAGTGTAGCGTGAGCTGTCGCTTTTAAAACTAATAATTCAGGATCCAAATATAAACTGGAATTTTCAATAGAACGTGCCAATAACAAATTAAGTTTTTCAACTTTGTTAAGTTGCTCTCGACAATTGGCAAATGCATCGAGAACTTCTAATTTAGCTACAGGATTTCTGGTAGAGTTTACTGAATGCTCTCGTGGAGGCAGAGGTGGATGACTGCTAGCTATAGCTCTTGTATACATTTCCGTAACTGCTCTTAGCTTATCGACCCATTCTTGTCGAGCTCTTGCATCGATAGCTCTTAACTTAATCATGTCTCCTATGAAAATATTTAATTATTTATTAAATTATGCAGTGGCAAACAACCTACATCCACTCGTACTAACAGAACTATTATATCTGGTATTCAGTTACCTGTGGCAGAGTTCACTGTGAATGTATTGGAGTCTTCATCACTTGGTGCAATAACAGCTCCAGCCAAATATATTGAACACCGAGGTCTTTGGTTTTTCTCAGACTCGCTAAGAAAATAGTGAAGTTCTCCGCTCTCTGGACTTAGAATGAACCATCGATACTGCCATCCTTTCATTGCATTTGTATATTTATGAAGTAACCCTTCATAAGATTGCCTTATCTGAGTATTCATGGTGGGTTGTATGTAAGCCACTGCTAATTACTTAACATCGTAATTCAAATCACAAAACTTCTTCTTCACAAAACGACTTCTACTCACTTAGTTGTATATCATCCAGTAAATTAGCCCAGAAATACTGTGAACAGGATGATTAAAGCTCCAAGACCAATTCCAAGTACTTAATTATAAATTTGAAGAAAGTACTTTGTTAAAAGAGCAAGTATTTTGTGTTCTTTATAAAATTCTTAAAAGATAATGTTTTTAAAATGCATATTTTTTAACTATATTCTACTTACACTGGACACGTCTCCATCGCACCCCTAAATCCGGGATTTATCGGGTACGGATCCAGTGAATCGTATGTCTCCATCGTATTACAAAATAAGCAAGTTCGAACCTCTCAAAACACCTTCGGTGAACAAAAATTTAGCCAAATACATTTATCTTTATTCAATTAATTGCGAAAATAGCTCAACCTGCTACCTTCTCATGAAAAGCTAAAATCAACTATTTTTGTCAAATATAGTAGAACATTAATCCATTAAAGACTCAGTTAAAATCTTTTTGCCAAATGTCACAGTACACTGTCATTCGTCGATGGTTTCCTCCATCCGTACTGCCCTCTCCGGCCGCGCAGCATACTAGCGACGGGAGCAGCGCTGAATTTGAATCGCTCGAGGGGCAGAATGGATTTCCTAAAGAAAATAAATATTTATGAACAAAAACAATTAATGAAAATGATTGAAATAGTATTGTGAAGTGGCCCTGACCTACGTAACGTAGTTTTTGTTAAATGATTATTGACAGAATTTCTTAAAGAATATATTAAAACATGTTTTATTAAAAGTTGACAAGTTTCTTAGCGATTCAATCGTTCCAACCACAGAGCAAAAGTTAGAATATTATCTTAGCTTAAAAAAAATAGTTTATTAATATTTATACAGTGAAATGCAGCAGGAAAATTTACAATGCATCTACTTTCGGACATAGAAATGGAATCATGATTTCATGTCTCTTATATATTTACGTTTTACACCATTCTTCGTATTCCTCGAATAAATGGACACCTGTAAATCATTAAATGAGCATGTAAATGAGCACCCGTAAACATAAGAAAGACTTTTCTTATCCGAGTTTTTTTATAAACGCAAATGGGAATAACTTTTATGAATTGAATTCGTTCGAAAGAGGTATCCAAAACGTAAAACACCATTTTCTATTTCGTATTTGAAATAAGAATAATAAACTATTCTGGATTTCCAATATTTAATAGATTTTGAATCTATTTCCATTTGAAAGTAAATACTCCCAGAGAAATGAGAATATTTGAAAAGAATTGATCAGAATGATACTTGTTCTATCAATTGAAATAACTCTCGAAAAAGTTAAACAACACGCGTAACTCGAAATAGCCACTTTCGCAAAAATTGATGAAATTAAATTGTTTACTTGCATTTTACTGCGACGGGAATTCCTATCCCTGGTCAGCAAGTAGTCGTACGCCCGATGTAAATTAAGAAAAAGGGTGTCAAGCCCGATCATCGGCTCTTCCGGAAGCCCGATTTATTTAAGGCGTCAGGTGCACACGCGCACCTCGGGATCCCGGCACCCAGTAGTGCGAGCAAGCCGACTCGGTCCAATCGACGGGACCCACCCGGGCGAATCCGACCGGCAACTCAGCCCCGCGAGGACCTTACGCCCTTCGCGGCACGGTAGAGTTGGGAGGTTCGTTATGAAGGAGGCACGAGTGAGGAGGAGTCGATTTCGGAATTCGCCGGAACGGCAAGGTCAATGAAATAATAAAACCAAGGTTGCGACAGACAAGCCCTTCGGAAGATTTATTCCGTGAACGGGCCCTACCACAGAAGCGTGTCACAATATCATAAAGGACTCTACGCACAGAGTCGGGACGAGAAAACTAAAGTAAGGTACCAGAAAATTAACAGGACCAATTCAGAAAACTAAGGTACGCGACCGAGAAAATCGAATTCCCCGGTGGAAGTCCGAACAGGGTACAACACCCTAGCGGGAGGACCTTTTACGTGCCCCGTCGGACCTCAGTAAGAGCCCGGTGCCTTCGGTAATTGCGCAACAATATTCGGCACCGGCTCCCGGTATGGTCCTTCACCTCCCACCCACTCCGACCGCCTGCTTACCAGCAGCCACGGTAATAACGAACCAATTACAATTACGAAAAGAAAACGATACGGGGCGCGATACACTCTAGCGGGTGGGAGTCTCCGCCCGTCGGAATTTAACAATAAAAAAACTCGAACGCTTACCGCAGCCCGCTACGCTCACAAGAGACGGGAATCGGTAACTGGAATGTCCTCTCTAGACGAAAGGTCTGCCCGCGACGACATCCGGGAGTTGCGCGGAAACAAACGGGATCGAGAACTAAATTACCCGGATCTAAACGGACTTGTGACAATCACGGCGCGGTATTGGCTCACGACGCGGACGATTCGGACAATGGCGGTCTAGGAGGCCTCCTGGTCAGGTTCGAGCTCACCGGTAAGAAGTCCGCTCGGAAAGACGGTCCAGTTACTCTTTCCAAGCGGCAACACTGCTGCGCCTCTCAGGGCGAATCGGTACGGCGCCCAACGGAATGTATCGGGACGGCGCCCTTTGGGAGGTAACGGCACGAGGCGCTGTCGCTGACGGGATGGGACGACGGCAGTTGTGACCGGTACGGTAGTCCATCTGGCAATCACGGATACGCCGGAAAATCCTTTGTTCCGGCGCCGATGTCCTCCTAGTGGGTCTCGCGGAACTTCTTACCGGGCATCGACCAGCCCTCTCGCCTAGTTTAATTAGGTCACTAGGTCGCTTAATTAAGGCGACCGCTGACTGATGGCAGCAGCCCCCCCCCCCCGCCCTGAATTCGAGGCCCTGCGCGCTGTCCGTGAGCCTATGAAAATTATATCCGCGAGTCGATGCGCCCGTCGCCTGCGCACCACTGAGTCTGTCGCAAGTTTTACATACATTTCTAAAATAATACAACGCTTATGCTAATGATTGCCAAAGGGACTCCTTCCCGCTCCGACCCTGAGAATCCCTTCTGACGGGCAAAGATTTTGCCACGTCACAATACAAATACAAGTCATAAAATTACATGTCCGAAAAAGGCATGGACAACGAAGGGTAAACATTACGACTAGATGGCACAGTTAATTCGAGGCTACAGTTCTCGCTAAGAAATCGATCTTCCTTTCCCTCTGTCAACTACTTGAACACGGTCATCTCAAAATGACAATCCACTTTGTGAGCCGTGGAAGGAAGGGGCGATAAGGACCGGATGAACGAGTCCAAGCGAGAACGCCGTCGGGAGACATAAGACCCGCAAGAGAGCAAGGGAGAACGCCGTTCCGGAAGGGACGAGGCCGTAGCCCGGGGTAGAAAGAGGGTCTTCATCGCCGACGTGAAAATATTGAGAATAATCTGTTTATCGGGCAACCGGCATCGAGACCCTCACAGCAAGGGGTGGAAGGCCTGAGACCGGAGTTTTGAAAGTGGTAATGGAAGCACGAGGTCAAGAGACGTAAAAACCCTGGAAAGTGTATAATCACTTTATTACCTTGCGGCGGTAGGACCTTTTCCCTGTTTACCCTGTCGATGAACACGACGAGAACAGCGCTGATCGGCGAAAAAGGAATAAATTTTATAAATATTAACAACTGCAATATCGTCACACGGGGTCAATCAGTACGATTTTGAGATGTTTATGTTAGTAACATTTATTTATTTCTTTTAACAAGTTGGTTTCAATTTTAGATAACTGACAAATATCCTTGAATGCCATTAAGAAGCAATTTATAGGGTAAACCATAGTTTTGATATAATTTTTTCTGTAGATGCCCCAATTGTCTCCAAGTTGGGGGTCAATAGGTACACAAAATTATAAATATTAGGTCGACACTCAAGAAACAAGTTTTTTTTTCCAATACAAAATACAATCTGCTATTAGGAATACCATGTGCAACCCTTATCAAACATGTGTTTTCTTGTATTTATTAGTAACTCACGCTGTAAAAAACGCAAGTAAATTCATCTAGTTTTCTGAATTAAATGTGGCGTACTCAAAAAACCAGTTGACCCAATTTAGATTTGGAGCTGTCAATTCTGTTTCAGTCAAGTTTGGAGTAGATTCAGCTACAAAATGTGATTTTGCACTAAATGTAAGTTGAATCAACTCGCTTATTGAGTTCGCCATATTTAACTCAGAAAATGAGTTGAATTTACTCATTTTCTTCCCGCGCTGAAGTAAAACAACAATCTAGAAATTCGTAGAAGAAAACATAAATGCTAGTCTTTCTGAATGTCTTAAAATACTTTTTATTCTCCTTAAAAATAAGCATCCAATATAAAACTTTATACATTTCTTTAGTATCTGTCAAAGTTATTTGGTCCCGTTTTTCTCGCTCGAGTGCAGTCTGAAAGGTTTCTTGGGTGTCGTTTTTATACACTCGATGGCCAACCTTCTTAACGTAGTTTCCGACCATCTTTTCCCGATTCGCCTCGACTAATACACTGAAAAGGAAATGAATTGCTAGAAAATTGATGGTTTAATTTTTCTCAACCTGACTTCAAATACATTATTGTAAAATGTAGTCAAAAGATTGAAGTATGCACAAATTGAACGAAGAACGCTGGAAAACCTTAATATAAAAATTAATTTTATGAAGCAATGAGAAAACCACAGGATTTCTCTCTAATTTTCAAATTTGATTACATGAACACGTCAAACTTACGACAGTAAAAGATTGAACTATAATTGGACAGAAAATTTTATATTCCGGAACGAATTAACATTTTTGCAATATGATATTATATGCAACCAAGTTGCAGCATATTTCGCGACGGTCGAACAGCCCCGTTACAGCCCAAAGTAAATTTAAATGGCCAATATTTCATTATATGAATTATCTGACAAAGGTGACACATGTAGTGAAAAGGGTAGGAGATGGTGAACCATCCAAAAAGCGTATTCCGTCGACACTCAACCTCGGCGGTAGCACGAGGGCGGTGCGGTAAGGGGACTGTATACTTGTGTCTCTCTATATCCGCCCTGGAGGCCGTGTGTCCGAGTGAGATAGCCTATTTGATGCGCTATCACTCTCATAGCACAGGACAGACTTATGCGTCCGGGTTTCGGGCCCTGACCAGATATCGCTTTCGTGTTGGCGTGGCCTGCACGGCTCGGCCGCCGACTAGGGGCTCGAGGGGTGTGGCGTTCTCGTTTGCTCCTACGGATCGCAATAGCCTCGTGCTTCCATTACCACTTTCAAAACTCCGGTCTCGGGCTTTCCACCCCCTGCTGTGAGGGTCTCGAAGTCGATTTCCCGATAAGCGTTTTAATAAGCGAATAAGATTATTGTCAATGTTTTCACTTCGGCGATGAAGACTCTCTTTGTACCCTGGGTTACAGCTTCGTTCCTTTAGTCCCTTTTTTGGGGTCCTCCGAAATCCTCGAACGACATCCGATGTGCAAACCCCACGCACGCCTCTGGAACTGTACAAAACTTCCACTTCCTCGCTTTTCCTTGACAAATCGGCTGCATACCAAAATGC